CATTATATAATATTATTTTGGTTTTATTTTGCATTATGCTGTTTTGTAAACATGCCTCTTCTACTGTCAATTAATGAGTTTTATGCACCCACTAGTATATTATTGATTGCATAAACAGAATTAGACTTGATAAGTTATAGCATGTACATTATCCAGCTATAAGCAAGCATGGCTGAATTTCTGCTAAATCCTTGTCTGATCTTTGGAATTAAATACGGACTCCTGAAGCTTTTGCCTGCTCTCGTTTGCCATGCATATTTGTTCCTTATTTAAAAAGTGACCAGCTTAAGATCAGTGCCAGTTTTTTGGTATTCACCCTGTAGCTATGCCAAGTTCACATTTTACTGGCTGTACTCCACTGTCATTCACATTTGTGCATGATTGGAAAACAAAAGAAGTTTCACTGGATGTCAACCATTATGTGCATTGCCAGCAGTTGTCTGTATATTTTGTGTTCCTGTTATGATTATATTATATAGATGGCAAACACTAGGATTTTGAGTACTGATAGGCAATTATAATGTACACAGAGTGATTTTTTTCACCCTGCCCTGTCTACATCTTAGCATGCAATTTAAGTGGAATGTGCATTTTTTTACAATTTCTTTACAGGCTCAAACTTGCTGTGCTTATTTGCTTCCAGTGAATGTTCTCACAGTTTATACATATAATTGAGAATGATCTGTTCACAGTTTATACATATAATTGAGAATGTTCTGTTCACTGTTTATACATATAATTGCATTCTGTATGTGCTTGTCATGACAAAATCTATACAAGCCATGGAATTCCCATGTGAAAATTCATAAAGTAAATTGAATTTTCTTGTGCATTCTTGAATATGCTCTAAACAGAAGCTTGTATGTAGCATGTATGCTTATCGTAACCATACATGCTAAGACTGGGCTTCCCAACCCCACTCTCACTGCAGCAGGCAGACCATCCTTAGAGAGCTTTTCCATCTATGAATACAAATTGAGAGGTATACTATCTGCACCACAATTCTGGATACCCAGATATTACAGAAAAATAACAAAGGTTACAAAATGACTAAGAATACATTGAGCTGTGGATATCATGCAAATGAATTTTGCAAACCATGTGACTGATATTCAAGCAAGATCTATATGGTGGTGGTAAGGGGATTTGCTTTCTATATATGGATCAACAATCAGAAAATTAGGCCAAAATCAACCTTATTTGGCTGATAATCAGTCTTCCTAGGGTCCCATGAAATATATCCTCGTACACTGGTTATTGCAAGATATTAGGTCTTTATTATATCACCTTATCTGCCAATATTTATCCCATGTATTAGTCAAATTGGCTTCTGCCATCAGCAACAATTTTGTTGCGCAGAGTGATTGAATTATAGCAACTGTTGGCCCATTTGGGTTATGTAACCTTAATTTGAACAATTAATTTTTTGAGCAAATTTTGCCCAGGTATGTCATATTGAGCAAACATATATATGGGTCTGCATGCATTAAAATCTGGTTGAGCCTCTAGATTTTTATTTGGTAGTTATAAGGACTGACAAAGCAGGTGCATTGCTTGTTTTACAGCTAGCCCTTCTCAAAGATTTGTATTTTCAGCCATAAATTAAAGTACATCTTAATTCTATCAATCATACTTTCACCAACAAAGATTTAATTGAATCTTCTCTTCTCACAGAGTTAGAGTGCATTTAAGATGATAAAAAGAAGAGATGGAGTGCGATTGAACCACTGTCCACGCTATATGCAGCATACTAGAGCCTGGACTGTAGGTTTCAGCTCCGGAACTCTTATATGGATTAATAAAAGTTAGAGATTTTTACCTACCGTAGCAGCATACACACACAGTGTACAAATCATTAGGGGAAGTTATTATTTATACAGCAAATTAGCAAAAACATTTTTTTTCTTTTCCATTGAGATTTAATTAGAAGAATAACTGAAGATCCTACCTTAAAGGTCCTTGTTCAGGAACCTTCTACTGTGTAGTCAAAACTTCCAATTGTTCTCCTGCTTTGTCACCATGTCACATATGCCCTTGATGGAGACTACAAGTGGCCATGCATGCACCCTTTGCGCAGGTATGGCCCTCCAGTGTTACTATCAGAAAGTATGTCCTAAGCAATGATGTGCAGCTGGTGCAAGTGCATGTAGACAGGAAGTGGCTAAAAGATGCTGGAGTAGATCAGTAGAACTGAGATGCTAAAAAAGATTTTTTAAAATGGCAATTGCTTACATTTTGCAAAGTAAATGTCATACAGTTAGAGTTTAGGTCTCCTTTAAAGTGGGTTTAGCAGATCTCAAGCACTGCTGTATACAAATGTATGATGGGGTTTCCCATCTCACATGCATATTCATAGACTTTGTTACCCGTGTGGCTCTGCCTCTGAATTAAGATGTCCGATGGAACTTAGCAAACACCTCCTCACACAAGAGGTACTTGCTAAGCAAAGTCATTACTAAAGCCCATTTGTGGCAAACCAAATTCTTCCAACTCAGGATTGCAAAGTGTCTGCTGAATATCCTGAGAGCTATTACACCAGCATGGATAGGTTTAACCCTATTCTTCTGTGTAATCTGTTGCGCAAAAAGGATGTCAGGCAAATTATCACATTGCGGTGTGAATAGACATTTTATTTAAGTTGGAAAATGCCACTTCATTATTTTTGTGGAAGTAAACACGTTAGGAAACCTCACCTTTCACACTGTACAATTCATTTTTCAAACACTTGGTTTCAACTATTTAATTGAACAAACAAGTTGGAACAAAATAACCCCAAGGCCCAAAAGTATTTATCAGATCAAACCGCATGAGTAGGAACAGCTATGCTTAAAGCAAATCTGTCACACATGAAGTAACATCATCATGCTGTACAGCAGGCTAAGATGACTCAGAATTCCCCTTTATTTTCGAATGCTTTCATTACGGGGTAATTGACAGTAGATAATTAGTGGATTTGGCACTTTCTATTGAAAAACACTCCAAAACTGTATGGGCACTATATTGAGTCATGCCTCCCAGTCCTGTTTTGATGCTGGTCACTGAACCCAGACTCAGATTTGTATTATATTGCAACATTTATTCTGATACAAACTTGGTGGAAATGTCTAACTTTTACTATGTAGTAAACTACGGTATGTGTGGGCTCTCTCTTGTATGACAGATCTACTGGCCTGGGTAACTATAGTCTCAGGTACTAGTTTACAGAGCTGGCATTCAAGCTGATATCCTGGTAACAGTATGTGTTAAACTACATGATTTAGTTATTTTCGTCATTGGGTATTGCACATGAATGCTGCTTATGTGTAGGTAATATTATTATTTAGTCTACAAAGTATTATTTGCCCCCAAAATAGTGACCTGATGGGTCTGGTTTAGTGGACCAGACCTGCACACAAACATTGTCAACATACATTTGAGCCTGGGAGAGAGCTGTGGGTAGCACACTGAATTTGATTGCAGTGGATTTTTATAAAGTTCATCTTAATGTAAACTGAGCAGATATTTTTTCTAAACCATAGTTCTGGTGTTTCAGCATAACGGTTCACTCACTGGATTTACTTGTTAATTGAAGTTGTTCTTAATGTTAACACTTACCACACTCCAATTACCAGGGTTGCAGCGGTTGCCACTGGGACCTAGCTCTGGTGCTCCACCACTGTCCTGAAATCATTAGTCTGTATTGTTTAAAAAAATCTGTCACATGACAATAAACAAAAATATATCAGTACTTGTATCTGTAAGTACTTGGACAAATATCAGTACTTGTACTTGAACAAATGGTATCGGTGCATCCCTAATATATATTTATTTAAAAAAAACAATCATACAATAAACCAGGGATGCACAAATCCCAGGAGCTCCGTATGCTCCTTAAAAATGACAGCTGCCTCCTAACGTTTGAATTTTTCTCTAGTTAGTCTTGGAGCTGGAAAAGTATCTGTACTTGTACTTATACAGAGTACTGTACTTGGTATCTGAACATCCCCAGTTCAAGGCTATGGTAGCAGTAAAGCCATGGGAGGAGGCCCGGATCCCCCACAAGGCCACCGAGGCCCGGCCTCGGGGCGGCAGGGCGCAGAGGGGCGGCAGCGGTGTCCTTGTGGGGAAGTTGCCCTCTCTACATTCAGTCCTGCTTTGTACCAGCAGGACTGAATGTAGAGTGAGGCAGACGATTTTTC